GAGGCGTATCCACTGGGCTTGAAGAAGCAGTGTAATACAGGCTATTGTCTTCTATGCTTTACTGGCTGAAAGGGCTGAAGACATTTTATATGCTCCCACTCCACCCCACAAATTGCCAACAGGAAGAAAGGGAGGAGTGAAACAGGATCCCAAGGCTGCAGGTCTGTGCACCCTGCCTGGGGTAAATGTCCAAAGGGAGCTATAAGTTTAAGATAAGGGGATTTCATCATATGTGCTTGATTTGGTTCCCCAAAACTGTGTGCCAAGAAGTTTCTTTCTTTTCTATGTGATAGAGCCCAGTCAATCAGTAAGCTGGCAACCAACAAACAAAAAAACCTGGCAAACACATGCAGGGGAAGGTCCCTTTTCACTAAGTACCACAGCATTACAGCTACTGTACAATAAGAGGTGCTACCCTCTCCTGACAATGGGTTTTCCCATCACCTGAAAAATTATTTACCAAGTGTCTGTAACCAAGGCGAAAAACACCCCCAAAGTTTAGATCTGCATCAGCATTTCCCTCACAAACAGCACAGGTTATAGCTTTTAAGAAGGGCAAACAAAAGGAGTTGAAAAACAAATGTTGGTATAAATTAATAGCCACGAAAGGCAGGGGTCTGGGACTATTAAACATCTTCATGTCGCAGAAAGTTAGAAGCTTAGAAGCCAACCTATGAGATTTGGTGGAAAGTCCAAAGGAGGCTAACCAAATGAAGCTTCAGCAATTGCAATTTGTCAGATTAAGCATTTGTGAGAAGCCCACGCAGAATTCAAGGAATGATCTGAAGAAAGGCCTCAGGGTTAAAATGTTTCCCTCAGCTTCTTCCAAATGCACCACAGTTCTGCGGAGCTGCTTCTCCAGACATGTTCCGTTGTTACCTGCTCTCATAACACTGGGTGTAGTTAAGGAGTTCTTGGTTTCCTTTTTGATACAATGCTAAAAGAGAGTTTTTTCTCAAGGAGCTCCAAGTAAAAATTAGGATTTTTATGACCCTAGGAAGATAGATTTTAAAAATAAACACACGAACAAGGATTTGAGGTGGAAAGCAAAGGATGAGGATGTTGGTGAGCAAAGTAATGGATACAATGCCGAAGTTTACCGCCACCCTTTACCACTTACTTTCATGATAGAGTTCTAACAGATTTGAGGGGTGTTGGAAATAGCAGTAAAATGTTATACTAAGAGCCTTGTAGAATTGTGAAATGTAAGAGCTACAAGTTACCTTACAAACAAGTTATTGGTTCTCAATCATGAGTCCTTGATAAAATTTTCACTGGTCCACAGAAAACTGAGATTTATTTGGATAACCCATCACACTTTTTTGAAAAGCAAGATGAATTCAATTTAAAGGATTGTTCTGTAGTCTGAGATGAAAATTTCCCCACTTTTGTGGTGTTAAAATATTCTTTCTTTTATGAAAAGATAATGATTATAAATGGCAGTTTGGGATTTTAAAAAACAAATGTAGTCTATCTCTGTTCTTCATTATTAAGCCAACAAGTTTTTTTTAACTTATTGAAATATAACATATATATATATATATTCCTAATTAGTTTTAATAGTCCAATATATCTTATAATAGCTTTCAAATTTGGCAAAATAAAAAGTTGGGCAACCCTATATAAGTATTTCAAATTGTTTTTAAAGAAAATTTACTGGTCTGTAAAATTGGATTGAGTTCAAAGTCCCTCTTATTTGAAAGAAGAAATGAAAGTGTAGAGAAGTTAAAAGTTAAAGCATTATACATACATCGAAGGTCCCCTAGCTAGTTAATGGCAAAGCCAAGACTAGAACTAGGCTCTTGCCTCTCAGAGTCCAGTGCTCAGACACCCTCCTCAATTTCACAGATGTACAAGACTAGCAAAGTATATAATTTGATCCTAAAACCACTTACAGTGAAGAACTGAGATGAATAGATTTTATGCAGTCTATTAAATTGCATGTTAAGTTCCACTACGCTTTGCCACAATTACCTTTTACAGTCGTGACAAATAATCTTACACAGTATGAATTATGCATTTTTGTGATTTTTATCTGATCAAAACTCAACAGGACAGCAGCACAAAATTTTACAAATATATACAAATATACACTTATTTCATCACTGACACTTATAAGTTACTTAATTCATTTTCTTCCTTATCAATCACAAAACAGCAGCCACCACTATTTTTTCCTTGCAGTTCAACATAGTTTTAAAAAAAAATTAGAGTTGATATTTAATATTATATTAGTTTCAGATATACAGTATAGTGGTGAGACAGCTATACAATTTGCAACATATAGTTTTAACACAATAATTTTGTATCTAGGACAAGATACCTATCTACTGAGCCATGTCGATATCAGAAGATGACACATGTCACCAAGACAAACATAAAAGCCTTTAAACATGGCCCCGGAGCCAGGAAAACATTCAACACTGTGATGCCAAAAATCTGAATCCATTTATCTTGATTTCTCATTATTATTTTAACTATTTCTGTAGTCACTACATTTATGAGAGTTTCTAATTCGTTAACTGAAGTTACTGTTTAGTATGCAGGCTCACATTCTTACCTTGTTCCTCAGAAAAATTTTTAACTAGCAGCCATAAACACAACCTCATGATTTTAAAGAGGCCAGAATAAAACAAAAGCCCTTACCCAAAGTAAGGCAAATGCCCAGTTAACTTAAAATAATATCTTACTTGGAGCCCTGGGCTTTTTTTTTTTTTTAATTTTGAAATAATTTTAGACTTACAGAAAGGTTGCAAAAATAGGATATCTCTGTGTACCCTTCACCCATTTTCCTCTAATATTAACATTTTATATGACTATGGGACAAGCACAACTAAGAAATTTAACATGGGAACAATACTGTTGACTAAACTACACATTTCACTAGAATTTCACCAGCGTTCTCACTATTGCCCATTTTTTGCCTCATGATTCAGACTAGGATCCCATGTTGCCATACCTCCTTTAGTTGTCATACCTCCTCAGCCTCCTCTGTGATCGTTCTTCAGTCTTTGTCTCTCGTGATTTCGATACTGTTGAAGAGTACTGGTCAATTATTTTGTAGACCGTCCTCAACTGGGTTCATGGGGTATCTTTTCCTGGATGGACTGAGCTTATGCATTTTTGACCGAATACCACACGGGTGATGTGCTTTTTCAGTACATCATATAAGGGGGACGTGATGTCAACACACCTTATTACTGGTGATGTAAACCTTATTTACTTGGTTACGATGGTGCCTTTGGTGTCTAATTGCTCATATTCTATCTTTCTAAACTCTTTATTGGAGCAGAGGTGCAACTTAAGTAGGGGGGAATGGAAGGGAACGGCCTTTCTGACCTTCATGCGTAGCTGCCAGCAGGTGGGTTTGTTATTGAGGGCTGCAGCCCTGAAGAGATGCCTGAGAGGATGGAACGCAGATATAAGAACTCTGACAAAGGAGCCATGAGGAAATACCTCTGGAAGTCTTGGTCAGGCACAGGTAGGAGACCTGGATGAGTCAAGGGGTGGCCTGAGGGCAGCCATTTCTGCCAGGAGAAGAGATGCTGATGCAGAAGTGTCCGCATCTTTCTGGATTCCTGTTCCTTTTGGTTTCGACTTTACTTTTGTTTACTTTAGTTTTCTTGGACTATGGCTTCCACCTTCCACGTTCACCCGATCTCTGATTTTATTTTTTTTTAGGCGAGGCAACCCTTGGTTGACCTCACAGATTCCAAGGACCTTGTCAGCCTACAATCCCTTATTTTTTATTTTTTATGCCTACAGCACCTGGTCTTCCTAGGTGGTCTCCCATCCAAGTACTAACCAGGCCTGACCCTGCTTAGCTTCCGTGATCAGACAGGATCGGGCTTGCTCAGGGTGGCATGGCTGTGGACCTGATCTCTGATTTTAATGAAATCCCAATAAAAATATTTATTGGGGCAATTATTTAAGTTAATTTCCATAAGCCGCCACAAACAATGGCACCCCTGACAGTTATCTTGTTGTCATCCATCTGTCCCCTAGAGGCAGATGGGGGTGCACCTATGATATAGTACAAAACTGTACCACTCAATCCTAGAGGTAACACATGAAACAAGAATCCTTCTTCGTTTTTTCAAACTGAGTTCTAATGCACACACCATCAAATTCACCCTTTAAAGTGCGCAATTCATTGGTGTTTAGTATATTTGCAAGGTTGTGCAACTATCACCACCACCTATTCCAGAATCTCTTCGTCACCCCCAAAAGAAATGTATACTCATTGTCACCCCCCATTACCCTCTGCCTCCAGCGCCTGGCAACTCACTGATTTACTTTCTATCTCTATGAATTTGTTTATTTGAATCAAGGTACTTTTGATCCCAAATAATAACAACCAAGATGATCACAATCCAGTTAACCTAGGACACAGATACTCAAACACACACACACACACACACACACACACACACACACACACACACACTCATGAAGTTTGATTTTGGCAGCACCTCCCCTTCCCTTTTGATATTCTACACTCCCTGTTCCACCCCATCCCCCCAACCATGTCTCAGGGGCGACTTATCTGCATTTGTCCTCCTCAGGGTACAACTCATCCTACCCTTTCCTCTTCTATCAAAAACCACATCATGTATCAGTGTCCTGCACTTGTGAGGTAATGTTCAGGTAAATTTATTTCTGCTGAGGTGCTAAGAAGTAACAGATTTACATTTTAGTGGAGAACTTTTGGAGTCTAAGGCTCAGCTGGGATGACCCAATGACCCAGTGTGTTTGGGACTGTTCCAGTTTATGCCTGTTGCCCTGGTTTAATGATTAATAGCAATGCCTTTCCTTTTCAAAAGGATGCTGGTCTGGGTGTTTAATTATATGGTCACCTTAACCAAATAAATGACTAATCACGGTAATTATAAGCATTTTGGTAGGCCAATAGGGAAAATCGATTTAGGTAAATGAAGTTTTTATGTTCCTCAAATTGCACCCCAGCTCTACATTCTCATAAAAAGTTCAAATTCACCAACCTGTAGGAATCAGGGTCTCATCCACAGGCAAAAAAGCATCAGCTTCTATAGTGACTTCATGGTCATATATATTCGGGGAACCCTGGGAGGGAAAAGGCAGAGAAAGAAAAGATCTAAAGCTTAGCCTTATTTTATATATTTGCTTTGTAACTTCTCTTGCAGAAATGTTTTCAGGCACTGACAAAAACTTTAGAAATCCCATTTGACTTACAGTGATAAGTAATATGCTCATTTAAGTGTGGGTAGGTAGGGCCTCAAAATAGCAGCTGATACATTGAAAGAAGCTTTCAAGTGGAATTAGGAAGGTGAAAAGTCAGAGAGACAACAGTAGTTTGAAAGCTTTTTGGATTTTGGCTTATTCGCAGAGGGGTTTCTTTCACTCTACTCACATGATAGGCAAACAGAAGAGCAAGGGTAGGTGACTTGTAACACAAAGGAAGGCCGAGGCATCACCTCTAGGCTAGCTAGAGGTGGGGCATGCCAATCCTTTTCTGGTCCAGATCCCACCCAGAGGACCCATTCCCTGCCACAATGCAGTAGCCCAGGAGTCAGAACTGCTTTTGGAATTTGCCTGTCTCCTCCATAAAGATGCAGTCCGTCCTTCTGGGAAAGTCCAAGGCTGGTCAGTGATCAGAAGGCCTGGGGTCCAGTTCCAGCTCTCACTGAGTGGTCCCAGGGAAGCCACATAACCTCCTAGAATCTTGTTTCCTCTGGTGTAGAACTGGGCCAATGGTGCCCCACCTTTAATAGGGTTATTGCGAGGAAGGCTTTAGTAAAGATATTTTGTGCTGTTTGCAAATTGGAAAATACACGTGTATGTTTTTAACTTAAGGAATTTTTAAAAATTATTAATAGGGGTATATTTTAAAGCTTCATGGCAGAACATACAAAAGGGGAACCAGGTGAGGGCTTTCACCTTAGTAAATGCTCAAAAACAAGCTAAACCCATGGTTCTCAACTGGAGACAATTTTGCCCTACCAGGCAAAATTGGACAATGTCTGGAGACATTTTTATTGTCATGGCTGGGGGCGGTAATGCTACTGGCATCTACTGGGAGGAGGCCAGGGATTCTACTAAACACCCCACAATGCACAGGACAGCCTTCCCACTCCTGCAATGAGGAATTATCTGTCCCCAAATGTCGGTGGTACTAAGGCTGAGAAACCCTGAGCTAAACTAAATTGAAGGCTCTGCCAGGTTCCTGAGAAGTCAGCAGAGAGAGGCAGAGCGCTTTGGGTTAACAGAAAATGAGGTGCTATGGTCAGAAAGACGCGGCCCACGTACCCAAACGAATCATCCTAAGGAGAAAGGGCAAAATTTTAGAGGCCATGAGAATCTCTGTCTAAACATGACAGAAGTTGGTTTAATTACACTACACTACTAACAGAAGCTATCTTTCTAAAGAGCATCTTGTATTCTCTCAGCAGGTACATGCTGGGCAGGGGCAGGTGTGGGTGGCAGACGGGGGAAGAGGTCTCGCCTCTGCCCACACACTGTCTATCTTAGCCACTTGTTTGGTCCCTGTTCTGACCTGGGAAGGTACGTCCAATATGGGAAGGGTCTGGACCCTGCTTAGGGCAGCTCTAGTCTAGAGGGGTCATCTCCTGTGAGCTCTCCCTACTGCCATTCTCATGGCTCAGGGGTACTGCCAGCACTGAAGAGGCCTCTGGGGCTGAAGGAAGAGAATTTGAGACTGTTTCTTTGGCTGTACTTGTTCAGTGTTCAGTTTAAGGTTGGGTAGTATGTATTCTATTGTATGAAAATATCACAGCTTGTTTATCATTTTTCCTGTTGATGGCCTTTTGGATTTTTCCGTTTTTTTACCATTATGAATAAAGCTGGTTAGGAATTTCCTTTTTTTGTTTGTTTTTTAGCACTAGGGCAGGAAGAAAAGGATTCACTATGAAAATCACGCATGAAATAAATCAACGTGTCTGAGATGTTAGGAAGAGGCTTGGGAGGAGACGGAAAGGAACATTTATTAGGCACCTACTCTCTAAATGGTTATTGGGTCACTGAGCAGCACTAACTTTCCTTCAATAAAGGGAAGCAAGCTTCATTTTATGACTCATCTGACCTGGAATAATGCAATGATCCACTCTGGTGGAATATTACTGTTGGATTCATTTCCTTTCTAGGCTGATGAAAACTTGGCAAGGAATGCTGATTCACAACAGAACTCAAGGCCTATCTCTGAGTTCGGTGTTTGATTTGATGAACTCTGCTTGGCCACTGCTACTAGTCTGTAACATCTACCATTTATAGAGCTCACTGTGGCCTGCATGGGGCTTTAAAGACTTTTTCGTGCATTGTCACCACTGCTGCCTTAATTCAGCTCTTCCCATCGTTAGCAGGATATAACAGACACTATTGGTTACTACTCAAAGCCACAGCAACTCTTTTTACCAGCACCCTCCTTTCCCCCTGGAAGAACCCTGACCTGTTGATTTATCCTGTGCCAGACTACATATTCAACGCAAGGATCCTCTTTCCAGCCCCGGAGGGCAAATTTTGATTGTTTTAAGTCAATCATGGTTGTCTAATGCCCTTGCTAATGACTGGGTTAGACAGGGTATAGGAACCCTTCTGGCCAACAAAATGTAAGGGAAAGTCTGCTGGGGAGCTTCTAGGAAAAGTTTTGCTTGTTCTTAAAAATGGAGCATTAGAGATATGTTTTAAAAAGGAATAGGTCTTTTTTTGTCTCTAGTTGTGACTATATGAAGTAGTGATACCTGCAGCTGTGGTGACCATCTTGTAACCATGAGGGTAGAAGCATGAAGACAAAAGCCAAAACAATGAAGAAGCAGGATGGAAAGATGGAAGAACCTGGATCCTTGATGACATACCTACCCTGTCATACTGGAACCATAGTTATTGCTTTTCATCTCAAGTTCCCCCAGGCCTGCTTTCATAGCTCTTTAAGTAAAGTTTCAATAAGAAACATGTCCTCCCAGTTTCGTGTTAGGCAAAGGAACAGCCAAAACAAACAAACAAAACCAATCAACCTGCAACCTACATACTTTTTCTATTCTTTGAAAAAACACTTTTCTCCCTTCCCCTAGGCCTTCAACACTTAAACTTAGAAGTCATGAGTCAAAGCTTGGTCCCAAATAGAAAAAAAAAGACTACTATTAAATTTTAAAAACAAACAAAACATATGAGCTACTTTAAATATCAAATTTTTACCTATTTCCCTGGGGAGGGTTTAAGATACATGACGATGTTTCTCCAGGTTGGGTAAGAGATGTTCTGAAAGTGCAGAGGTCCCAGGCCCCAGGCTGGTAGCTGACCATCCACTCTTACCCAAAAGGCTGATGGCCCCTGCCCACCTCCAACCTTCGGGCTATTGGCTGTGGATCTGGATCTGAGCTGCACTTACTAAGGCAGTACACAGAAAGGAGCTGATACTTACTACCCTTCTAGGTGGGGTCTGTAACCTCAGAAACTATTCAGCCTCTGGAAAGAGATCCAGAAATAGTCCCTGTAGGATTGGAAGGGTAAAAAATTCTGGTCAGGAGGGTCCTCCAGCCAGGTAAACGGAAAGAATCTTAGTGAACCTTATATCCCCATTTCGTTTCCCTCGCTGGAACACACTGGCAGATGTAATACTTCACACATAATTTCTCTTGCTGAATCTATTCCTTTAGACCACTCCCTAATTATAAAATAGGATGTCCTAAATATACAAAAATGTGGAAAACAGTGAAAAATTACCATGACCTACTACCTACATAAAACCACTAATATTTTCTATTTTTGCCAAGTTTCTTTCTGTACGTACTTTAAAAAGTAGGGTCTTTATGTACATTATTGCAGAGCCTCTTACGGCTGGGCATGTTTGTTTTGTTTTGGTTGGTCTTTAAGATCTCAAGAAGGATGTTGGAAGTTCCTGAAGGAACAAGCAAGGGAAGAACCATCTTATTTTTAAAGAGAGAACTTTGAGTATTATATAAGAACCAATTAACTTGCTACTTGAAGAGATTCTAGAAAAAACTTATCAGATCATCAGCAAACTCATAAAAGGGTAAGAAAATACAAGATATTACTCGTTGGCTATGAACGTCATCTGTGGTAAGAAATCATGCCAAAGTGACTGAAGTATAGTAGACAATGAATGATGAGTTCTTCAGATGTAGAGGAAGTAATAGATATAATCTACAGAGTTTAGCTAAGCTTTTTTATTTTGTCTCATGCAACAGCCTCCTTGACAAGCTAAAATATTAGCATTTGGAGGAAACGAGGCAGTTTAGAGCAGATAACCTAAAGGAGACTGTGCATTGGGAACACACAAATTTTGGCAGCATATCTAAAGGGGTCGGGCCAGGCACATTTCTAAAGATCCCAGAGTAAAAATCACTTTCATTGTAAGTAATCTGGTGTGGGGGCAGTTGGAGTGAAGTAGGGGTAGCAAAGGCAAGTACATGTTACAGTTAGATGAGACAGCGTTCTTAAAAAGCTGGTTAGTTGTCTGAGCATATGGGAAACATAATTCTATTGGCAGTACAATGTACTTATCTTTCTCTCTAACTTCCACTTATTGAGTACCTACTTTGAGCCAGATGCTTTCCTGGGTACTTTTCATCATCACAGGGGTGACCCCATCACCAAAGTATTTCCATGCTGGGTTGGTCTCTCCAGCTACTCTCCCAGGTGATTCCACAAAGCACATGACAGGAGAAAAGTGGCAAGACAGATTTTACACCACAGCAGGAGAGCAGAGGCAAGGTCACTTACCTGGCCTGCCAGGTTGAAGTAAGAATGGTTGGTGAGATTGACTGGTGTGGTCTGACTGGCCTGTGCGCGGTAGTTGACTGTGAGCTCCCCACCATCCAGGGTGTATGTCACCCAGACTTTTAACTCCCCAGGGTAACCTTCCTCACCATCTGGACTGACCCGCGAGAACTGGACGCCATTTGACAACACCCGAGGGGTCCAGAGGACCTAGAACAAAGTGTTTTCAAAGCTGTTTAGTCACTACAATCCCAAGCTAAATGCCACATTTCAATATTAAAGACAACTGGTTCCAGGAAGGGAAATGATGTAATCAAAATAATATACAGAAAAGTGACTTTCGAGAGAAAAGAAGTTTTTCTCTTTACCTACTCACATTCCCC